CTGGCTTCTCAGCCACCACATGTGGGTGTGGGACCATCCCTTCCCATGTCCCCTTCTTACCGGTATCCATGTGACTTCTTTTGTAAATCCTTGGTGATAATATTTTAGGTTTATTTGGTTATTCGGGTTGATTGCTCTGTAATTTAGCTGTAAAACTGGTTTGGAACCAGGAGCAGGTCAGTGTAGCTTCCATCTACGCCACAGCCATCTTGGAATCCCTCTTTTCTTTTCTTCGTGGCTATTGCAGATAATAACCAGGGAATTGTATATTTAGTATGCTTCTTATTATTTTGTATTTCCTTCTATAGCCTTGGGAGTTGGGACTACTACCATTTCTAAATTCCATTGGTAACTCTTAGCTTTAGTAACTGATTTCAGTGCAGGTGTAGTTGCATATCATGGATGACTGGGTTTCATATCATGGGTGACTGGGTGGCCATTCAAAGGTTCATCATTCTTCCCCCTCCCTTTTTGTATCCTTTCTCTTCAAAAATCATATTTTCATGAGCCAGGGCCATTATAGCAAATCTCACTTCACTGACACCTACTAAATTAGGTTCCAGGACCCGATCCCAATGTGTGTGTGGAAGCTTCTTGATACCAATAAGCAATTTGCAAGCACCACTTTTTTCAATACGTCTTGAATTAAATGCTTACCTCATCTGTTTTTAACCTTACTTTATGACAAATTCAAGTCACTTAATTTTCATTATGATTTCATCTTCAATCCAAGGGTATTTTAGTAATAGGTTAGTTTCTAAATGTCTAAAAGACATTCCTTATATCATCTAATTTAATCAATTTATGGTTGGAAAAACAGTCGGTATAGTATTTCTCCTTTGGTACTATTAGAGCTCTAGCTAATATATGGTTTATTTTTATACATATTCTATGCACTCAAAAAGAATCTGAACTATCTGATGAGTGGAGAGTTACTTACATATCTAATAGCTTGAACTGGTTTGTTGTATTATTTAGGAATTTGATAACTATGCTTATTTTTGTCTGCTTAAACTATTTCTCACAGCTGTCTGTATAAAATCATCATCTACATATCTACATTTGTTGACTTACCAATCTACTCACTCCTGCCAGTTGTTGCTTAAATTTTTCACTTTATTTTTAGCTCTGTATTTTAATATGCTTTAATTTCTTTTTGGTCTCACTCTCATCCCTTCAACCACGCTGTTATGTTATTCTCTGTGCCTTGCTTTCTTCATCTGCGTGTAATAAATAACTTGTATAGTTGTCAAGAGTAAATGAGCTAATATTTGCAAAGCACTTAGAATAGTACTTGCACATAGTATGATGTAAGTGTTGGCTAGTGTATAATAGGTAGAAATGGTAACTGAAACCATGGAAATGGTTAAAATAACTTGGGGAAGAAAACAAGACACTTGAAGAGAAATACTAGGATCAAAAACCAAGATCTAAGGAACTTTCTTATTTAGTGGCTGAGAAGGGAGGGTAACCCTCAAAAGAGACTGATTAGGAATAGACAAAAAGATAACAGGAGCCCAGCGTGCTCAGTGGTTGAGTGTTAACCCATGAACCAGGAGGCCATGGTTCAATTCCTGGTCGGGGCACAGGCCCAGTAGGGGGCGTGCAGGAGGCAGCTGATCAGTGATTCTCCTTCATCATTGATGTTTCTATTTTTCTCTTCCTCTCCCTTCCTCTCTCTGAAATCAATAAATATATATATATATTTTTAAAAAGTAGGATAAAAACCAAGAAAGTATATTGCCAATAGCATCAAGAGTAAAAGAATAGCCCTAGCTGGTTTGGCTCAGTGGATAGAGCGGACTGAAGGGTCCCAGATTTGATTCCGGCCAAGGGCACATGCCTGGGTTGCAGGGCTCAATCCCCAGTGGGGGGGCATGATGGAGGCAGCCGATCACTGATTCTCATCATTAATGTTTCTCTCTCTCTCTCTCTCCCTTCCTCTCTGAAATCAATAAAGAAATATATTTAGAAAAAAAGAGTAAAAAATAATTAAAAATGCTACTGAGGGAAGATTTGAATGAGTGAGAGATAAACATTAATTGCAACCGCTGGAATGAGTGACTTAATGAGTACAGTGGATGCTGTGATGCATCTCTCTGACCTCCCTTTAGGAATGAAGGTCTTATTTCACCATTTACTGGAGTGCTGCCAGCAGACTTGCCTCAGTTATCAGCCTCCTTGAGTAGTTGCCTTGGTTAAAGAGATGCTCAGTGCCTAAGTTCCTACAACCTTCCTTGGAAAAACCCGAATCCCCACTGGGAAAAACTTTGAAAGTTTACTTCCGGCTTAGTTGGTGGGAACATCATCCCATACACCCAAAGCTGGCGGGTTTGATCCTGATCAGGGCACATACCTAGGTTGTGGGTTTGATCCCTGGGTCAGCATGCATTCTAGGAAGATAACTGATTGATGTTTCTCACATCAATACTTCTGCCTTTCCCTTACTCTCTCTCAAAAAAATAAATTAAAAAAAAGGAAGTTTACTCCAGTTTTAGAGATGTGGGTTAGGCTACGCAGTGGTCGGCAAACCGCGGCTCTTTGGCCCCTTCAGTGTGGCTCTTCCACAAAATACCGGCTCTTCCACAAAATACTGACTTCTGCGCATGGGCCATGAAGTTTCAATCGCACTGTACGTGCGCGCCCGCACGTGGTATTTTGTGGAAGAGCCACACTGAAGGGGCCAAAGAGCCGCATGTGGCTCCCGAGCCGTGCTTTGCCGACCACGGGGCTATGGCATTGTTAAAACTGGGCATCACAACCTAACTTATCCCTCTGCCCGTTTTTCCCTCCTCTCCTTCCCTTCCACAGATTCTGATCCCTAATAAACTTCCTGCATACTAAAGTCCAGTGCAAGCGTTTGTTTCCCAGAGAACCCAATCTGTGACAGTGAGTTTGATTTATAGGAAGTGATGAGGGACATGAGAAGCCAAACTGCAAAAGGTAAGAAATAAATGGGAAGCCTGGCTGGTGTGGCAAGGTGGTTGAGCATCCACCCATGAATCAAGAGGTGGCTGCTTCCATTCCCCGAGTTTTGGGCTCAATCCCCAGTAGGGGGCATGCAAGAGGTAGTTGATTGATGAGGTTTTGCTCTCGTTGATGTTTCTATCTCTCTCTGTTCCCCTTCCTTCCTCTCTCTCTACAAAAATCAATAAAAACATTCTTTTTAAAAAGAAATAAATGGTAAGATGAACAGAACAAGCAAAAATGGGTTAGCTTTTAATTTTGCTTTCACAGATAAGAGCATGATCAGAACCAAGAGAGTATTAGGCTCACCACCCACTCCCTTTAGTGCAGGAGCTATTTGACTGAAAGATAAATGCCAGTTACACACACAGGATTCTATATCATTGATATTAACCTTTAATCCAATTTTATTTTTGGAATTCAAACAGTCTGGTCCAAATTAATTGATGGGATTGACTGTTGAACCGGTTTGTGGTGTCGACCTCAGCCTCGACGTTGGACCTGCTCCTAGCGCCTGGTCTGTCGAGTCAGCCTCCATGTTGGACCGAAAAGGGTAACAAAGAGGGAAGACTAGTTAGAAAGTATTACTTTCTGGTATATTTTTGTTGTTGTTGTTAATCTTCACCCAAGGATATTTTTCGATATATATATATATATATTCTATTCATTTTAGAGAGGAAGAGAGTGACAGAAACATCAATGAGAGAGAATCATTGATCGGCAGCTTCCTGCACACCCCCTTCTGGGGATGGAACCAGCACATGCCCTTGACTGGATTTGAACCTGGGACCCTTCCGTCCACAGGCTGACGCTCTATCCACTGAGCAACACTGGCTAGGGCAGGATATTTTCCCACTGATTTTTAGAGAGTGGAAGGCAGGGAGAGAGAGAAACATCAAATGAGAGAAGCACATCCACTGGTTGCCTTCCACATGCCCCCACCAGGGCTGGGGATCAGGCCTGCACCCAACCTATCTGCCCTGGATCGGCATCGAACCCGGGACCCATCAGTCTGCCAGCAGCGGATGCTGTATCCACTGACACAAACCGGCTAGGGCGTGCTTTCTGTGAACAGGGTAAGCGCCATGTCAGTCGGCGGTGACTGACACTGTACTTTCCATTTGGACCCTTGCAGTCTCCAGCCGCCAGCATATCGGTGAAATCGGATAACGCGGGCTGAACGGAAAGGAAGACAAAACAGGCCTGGCGCTTAACGTGTTAATGTATCAGGACACAAAGTTCTTTAATCAGTATTAGCTCGCTGAGGTACGGTGATGAGTAGCCAACATGTTTAAAAGATCGACATAAACTTTAAAATTGGCTGCCTTCTGTCAGTCTCCTGAATTTAAACAGTGAGTCAGTTTATATAGGCACAGTCTGCACCTAATGAAACTGGGTCTTTAAACCACTCTCCCACACCCTCCTTCCAGCCCCAGCTGAACCACACGGTCTACCCCTTAAACCAAGGACTGAGCCTCTCTTGGATATGTGATCGAATGACAGGAATCGAGAGACTTCTGAAAAGCTTTTCTATGGAGATCCAAATAAAGATGCAAAAAACCCACAACACAAAACAAAACCCCCCGACTATATGGGGAATGAAACTTTCAGAGAATGAATTAGCTGTATGGCAAATAATTCTGACCAAGGCATGAGCGTGCAGAAAGAGGTTAAGTCTAGACGCAAATCTTCAGGGCAGAGGAAATTAACTGATCAATGCACCGAAAGTAGCAGTAACACGGCTCTGGCTGCAGTCATGCGGCTACAATGTCCTCACGCCGCCAGCGCGGGCGGATTCCCAGAGCCCTCCGATGTCTGGCCGGCGAGGAAAAGTTACACTAGCGGCGAACACCAAGGCAGAAAATTTACCATTGACCCCGGAAACATTTTATTTGCGTAGGTAACTGGAGAAATTTCTTTGGTGACTCGTTCCTTGATCCGGAAGAAGAGATACCAAACGTCACTTGCGATTGGATCGCGTTATAAAGGCGGGGCTTCAGCCAGCCAATCGCTTTGGCGACCGGATATGACGATCCGGGAGACGCTGGCCGATCTGTACCACGGCTGGCGGCTTCGGTCTTCGTGGGGACCCGGCACTGCTGGGGGCGGTGCTATTCAGGCCACACCTCCTGCGCCGACTCCGAGAGGCTCCGGAGCGAAGCGGTAAGCTTCGGGGGGCGGGGACTCGGGCTGGTTCTCTCTGAGCTTGGGGCTCGGCCGTCGCTGTCCTGGGCGTCCATTCTTCCTGTTTCCGGTGGCCGCGCCGCCTCCCTCCGAGGCTCGGAGCTACGCCCTGTGGAGAACTCGCCGTTGTCGTCCTCTCAGCTTCGAACCCCTTCAGAGTTGCTCCGGGGCAACTGCCGCCCCGCATTTTGTCGCTCTGATTCTCGCCCCTGGGAGGACCCCGGCCCCACACTGCCCACTCTCTTGGATGCGCTGGTCCCTCCCTCCCCTCTAAAATGTCCAATAACCTACAGGGAGTCTTCTTGAAAGCCGCCGAGGAAAAGTCAGGCAGCGCCTCGCCCTGGTAAGTACAGGTTGCCAGTCTCGCGGGACACGCCCGCCCCGCGCCCGTCTCTTAGCAGGATGTGGAGTCGGCCGTCGTTTCCTGTCACCGCGGCTCCGAGGGGCGCGCCCCGCAGGGGGAGCAGCTCCCGACGCGCCGGCTCCCCGGCGGTCCGAGCCCTTAGAGCGCGCCCTTCTCGGAACCTAAGTCCTCCTCAGAGCCTCTCGCAGGCAGCCTCCGCCCCGGCCGGCTTCTCCGATTTCATAGGCGGAAAGAATAGAGCTCCACGGGAGAGGAAAACCAACATGGCCGACGCTCCTGTGTGACCAAACCCTTCTGGAAGGTTCTCGCGCACTCGCAGGAAAAAAAAAAAAAAAAAAAAAAAGCAGCGATCTGCGCGGATTAGCAAGTGCAACCCAGGTGGCGCTGGACCTTCAGTGAAAAATAGCCATAATTTTAAGAGTGAGGAGAGGATAGATTTGTGTCATTGATAAGAGTATATAAATTCGGAACCGAAAATTTTTTCTAGAATAAGGGAATCGAATATTTTAAATTTTCAAAGAACCGCTTTATTTGGAGAGAAAGAAAAAAAAAAAAAGGAAAACCTGGAAATGCACCTGTAAAATCAATCTTTTGGAACAGCGTATTTGAAGCAGGGGTAGTGCGAATGCCATCTCTAACTGGATATCTGTGTAAAAACTATATTTGATGTAGGGAGGTTCCAGTATTAACGACATACTTGTTCGTAAATTTAGAAAATAGTTTATTCCTGACTCAGTGGGGTGTTTTTGTTTTTTGGGTTTTTTTTTTTTTGAAGCTTCTGTTAATCGACAAATGAAACGGAAACAAAACTGTTAGCTCCGGTAGAATATTTGACGTTGTTCACACCATGGTTAGTGGACGTGTAATGAATGAGTGGTGAGAAAAAGTTAATGGGTCTCTGCAGAAGGAAAATGTGAAGAAGGAAGCATGGAAGTTAAGATGTAAAATTCATGGAAGAGGATTTATGAAGAAAGTCAAACTGCCCAGGTGTAATGCTAGCTTCATGAGGCTAAGCACCTCAGTTTTCGTTATTTAAATATGACCGCCTAGAGATAGGTTAAGGACTAAAAGAGTAAATATATGTAAAGCCGGAAAAATAGAAAAGCACTGTTAAAATGTTATAAGAATATACCTTCTGTACAAATTGTGGCCCATGAATTAGGTTTCCTTTCATTATAAGTAGATTCAAAACCTAACTTGTAATAAAGACTTTTAAAAGACGTGTAATATTCTAAAATGAGACCGCCACTAAACGGGGTGAGCTGAAACTATAATTTTGAAGAATTGCCAAGAAATAACTATTGCATTGTATTTCAAATAATCAAAAGAGTCAGCTTTTGTATATCTATGTTCCTTATTGGGTTATTTTTGGTGGAAGTTGGATATAGAGTGGCAGAGGCAGTGCTCTGTATGGATATGCAGAAGTAGGATTATTTTTTAATAACTTTGTCTTCTACCTTGTTTTAGTATCTGAATATTGATGACATCTGACTTAACCTAACAACTCAGTTTGTTTCAGGATTGCACTTGTTTTTAATATCAGAAATAAGGTAGAGTAAGAACTTTGCACTTTTTGTATACTTTAACTTTTTAATCCTGTTTCTAACCTGTTGGCTATCTATTTTTGGCATTTTATAACACATTACCGATTGAATCACGTTTTTATTACATTCATAAATCATTTGGCGTTCATTAACTCATTGATTTATGCATTCTTTCATCATCTTCAAATGCATTTTTTTCCTCAAACCATTCACTTTGGTTATTGGTTGCATACTAGTTTCTATTCTGTTTTGTAACAATCTGCATTCCAAATAGAATTTTGTAAGACATTTGATCAATGTTAGTTCTTTATTGGGAACTTAGTGTTTTTGTTTTTCTGATAATATTTTTTATGGTACTAAATCATTTATTTTTTTTCATAAACTTTAAATTGCTATGATTTTTTTCTATAGTTACGTGAATTTTCTTGAGTTACTGCTTTCCTTTTATAATACTTTTACTAATGTGATACAAAAAGTTTATTGTTTTAAAATATTTCTAATTCATCAGTGCTTAAAATGTAAAACTCACATTTAATTGTATACAATGGAAAAATCTGGAAGATATTTGTGATAGTAGGTATTAAGTTTATTTTGACTTAGGCTTTATTAACAAAGAGAAAATCAGGAGTCAGAAAAGTATAGTGGAAAGAAAGCAAGCTGTGGCGTTATCGAGACCTAGGTTTACATCCTAGTTCAATACTTCCTCTCAGTGTAGTTCAAACATCTGGTAGCGTTCAATGAGTGCCTGCTCTGATAGACTGTGCAAAATGGAGAGACCAACTAAAAAATAGGATATGGGCCATGACTGTGAAAAACTTTACAGTCTAGAAGGGAGATGATGTGTTACATTTTTTAAGTGTTGTGCACAGAATATTGTGAGGGCATAGAGAATAGGAATTGTAGGAAAGGTTTCTGGAGCAGTTGAGTTGGGGAATGTAAGTATCAGCTATTAAATTAAAGATGAATGCAGGTGCCCTGGCAAGTGTGCTCAGTGGTTATAGCATTGGCTGCACATTGAAAGGCTGTGAGTCTGGGATTCCATTCCTCATCAAGTGCATGTACCTGGCTGGGTTGCAGGTTCAATTGGGGTGTGTGTGGGAGGCAACCAATGGATGTGTCTCTCTCACATTGTTTTTATCTGTCTCTCTTCCCTTCTCACTCCCTCCCTCATTCCCTCCCTCCCTCTCTAAAAAAAAATCAATGGGGAAAAAAATATCCTTGGGTGAGATTCAACAAATTAAAAGAATGCAGGCTATGTCTAGGCAGAGAGAACTGGTAAAATAAAGTACCAGTATGTCTTATTACTAACAATTGGCATTTATTGTTTGATTCTGTTTGCCCTGCTGAAGAGAATAGACTATCTCTTGGAGATTAGAGGATTTAAGAAAAGGACTGTCATGGTCACCTGTACATTTTAGATAAACAATGTTAGTATGGATTTGGGGGCGATGGATCAGGCATCTAGAGATTCTATATTAGTTGTCCTTTCAGAGATGCTTGGGCTTGAATTGCCTGATGTAAAGTAAGGGTTGGATTCAAAGAATATAGAAGGGAAAATAGACCTTGTCAGGGAATTGACACGAAGAAAAGACCATCAATTATGATGCCAGTTTTCTGGGTAGATACTGGTAAATTGAGATGAACATCCCAGGAAAGCCATCTGAGAGATATTTGAATCTGAAACTCAGGCTCAAAGCTGAAAATAAAGATGTGAATCATCAGCTTAGAGGTATTATAATAAAAGCCTGTGATAATGCATCCTATAATAATAGGAATTAGGATGTCATGTGATTGTCAATTGGCTTCTATCCGCCCTTAACCCTTTGTTCTTAAATGGGAAGTTAAAACGAATGTCCGTAGCAGGTGGCTTTCTTTGGTTAGATATTGCTCCATTGTGAGTTCAGTGTGTATTTTGTTTTATACAGTGTAGGTATTATTATGTTTTCTTTTGTGATTGTGTATGTGTGTGTGTGAGAGAGAGACAGGTAGACAGACAGACATACCATTGCAGGATATCTGGAGCAGTTAATTTTTCATTGATTTCTCAATTTAAAACAATTGAATTTTTGAACCCTGCTATGCTAAAGTAAACAAAAAATGGATGGAGTTGCCCAAGAGAGCATGTATTTCTGAATAAATTACTTAATATTATTAAACCTCTATTTTTTCAACTATAAAATAGGAACAGCAATACCCACCTTGCTGGGCTATTTATAATAGATTCTAATATATATATATGTATATATGTATATATGTATGTATATATGTATAGTATGTATGTATACATATATGTATATATGTATATATGTGTGTATATATGTGTGTATATGTATATATGTATGTATACATATATACATATATATTATTACATTATGTATTTATGTATATTATATATGTATATTAAAGTTAAATCATAGATAGTAAGATGCAAAAAGGTCTCCTAATAGTTGAAAAAATATATTTTGCAAAATGTACATTAGCCTGCAAAATTGTTATTCCATTTCTAATGTGTAAATGCTTCACATCAGTATTAGAATTATAAAAATGTCAGTTACATAATATTGTAAATATGTTTAGTATACCTTTTACTAAAGCTCTCATACCTTTTTATTAAATTTCTCACATTTTCAAAACTATCTGATTCATTTGCTTATTCTTGGGCACCAAATATATATTTTAATGGAGGATGATAACTAGCATATATTGGGTGCTTATCATAATCCCAGCCAGTTCCTTCATTTACTTTTCATAGCAAACCCATTTTTCCCATTTTACAGATGATGAGACAGAAATTCAAAGAGGTTAAGTAAATTTAGCAATTGGAAGAGCCAAGATTAGAAGCCCATAATCTTTCCAAGATTATTCCTGTTTTCTCTTTTAAAGCCTTAAACTGTATTATTTTCCCAGTTCAAACCCAGCTGGTTTAAGATAATTAGCCTGTTGATTTTTCTTTTTAAGTGACTAAACTAGAGCATGGGATGCAGAATCAGATTCTAGTTTTAGTTCTGACTTTAGCTAGCAGAATATGTTCTTTAAGAAAACAGAAACTTTTTTAAAAAATATATTTTTATTGATTTCAGAGAGGAAGGGAGAGGGAGAGAGAGATAGAAACATCGATGATGGGAAAGAATCATTGATTGGCTACCTCCTGCACACTCTATTCTACTGTTGCAGCAGGAATGCAGCCATATACAGGACATGGAAAAAATGAGTGCATCTGCGTACTAGTAAAACTTTACAGACACTGAAATTTGAATCTCAAAATGTTCACATCACAAAAATATTGTGAGTTTTTAAAAGAAATCATTTATAATTTAAAAGCCATTCTTAGCTTGTGGACTGTATAAAATCAGGGAGGTCCAGAGGCTACTTTTTTGACTCTTTCCCTATAACTGAGGCTGGTGCCTGAACCATAGCAGACATTAAGTTCTGATCCAGTTTATATGTACTTTTGGGGGTGGAAAGGTGATGAGGTTGGTTTTCCTCTTCAAGCCCTGAATGCAAGAATTTATACTTTATGTCTGTGCTTCTCTTTAGAGATTAACTTTTCACTTACTAAAGGTAAATATAGCCGAAACCGGTTTGGCTCAGTGGATAGAGCGTCGGCCTGCGGACTGAAAGGTCCCAGGTTCGATTCCGGTCAAGGGCATGTACCTGGGTTGCGGGCATATCCCCAGTGGGAGATGTGCAGGAGGCAGCTGATGGATGTTTCTCTCTCATCGATGTTTCTAACTCTCTATCTCTCTCCCTTCCTCTCTGTAAAAAATCAATAAAATATATTTTAAAAAAATAAATAGAAGTAAATATAACCTATTGAAGCAATATCAAGTAACCAGAAATCTGTTTTAAATATTTGTAAGCTGCCGTTAATGTTATTTTGGGTTAGAGAAAGGTAAAACTGAGTTCCAGTGCTTTCTAGAATGCATAGAATTTTTGGCTTTGCTTTTTATTAATACCTGAGGTTTAAAAACACATACTAGTATATGCAGTATTACACAGCTTTACACTTTTGAGAACTCTTTTGCCCTTACATTTTTTTCTTTATTTGATCCTAGTCATATAAGGGCACACTGGTTTTATAGGACATGGACTCTGTACTCATGTTGCTAGAATTGAGCACGAGATTAATTAAAACTTGATGACAACTTTTGATATGTACCATGAAGGAAATCAGCAGGTGTAGTATTTTAGACTATAAAGGAGGGGAACGATAATTAAGGTGGTCAGATACTTGGGAAGTATCATTTATGCTGAGACTTGAGTTAATGTGGGTGGGAGAGGAGTACCTAGGTAGAGAAACAGTATGTGTGATGGCCTTGAGTTCCATGAGGTCTTGGTCTTGGTATTTTCAGGAACTGAAAGATAGTTTTAGGTGTAAATAGGTTGAGGTGCCTGCATTCAAGAAATTTATAAATAATTGATTATACAGTGATTGATATGGGATTTTTAAAAAAATCTTACAATCTGTACTAAAAAATAGCTCATAAATATCCGATCAAAATTGGTTAGATGAAAAAAATATTACTAAAATAAGTAAATAAAAAATTTGTAAAAAGTTACTTTCAAATGTGTTCCATGTTCATTGAAAACCATTCAGCTAAAATGACATTGCAGTTATATATGAATTTGTAGGCAGTCGGAACTAATATGAGTAATTGCCATACCAAGGACTGTTTAGCACCAAAACTTCAGATGTGCTGAGACAATAAATCAAAGAAGAAAATGGTTCCCACAAGAGTAACTCAGCTTAGTCTCTGAAAATGTGGCACACCAAGGTATTACCATAAGAGATGCCTTAGCATAAGAAAAATGGCTAACGGTAGAACTTGGAAGTCATTGTCAGTGGGAAGAACACAACAGATTGGGTTGGGAAGAGTGAGGGAAATAGAGTAAGCATAAATGGAAGTGAAATGAGAATTCTAGTCAATAAAAGTAAAGGAGGCGGTCAAGAGGAAAGAATTCAAGGAAAAGGAGGAGGGATGCTAATAGTTTGAGGCGCATATTCTAGTAGACATAATTTTATATAGGGTAAAACAGTAGGAAACACAATTTTAGGGTAATGTTCCTATCTTATATGTATTGTCTAATCATGTGAAATCTAAAGGTTATGATAATTCCTTTGACTATTTTTTTTTCTTAAAAACTTTTACTTTGTAATATTTCACTTTGAAAAATCAAAGTGACAAATGATATACTTTTATTATATTTTATATATAAATATTTTTAAATATTTGAAAATAATTTGGTTTTAAATAAAATGTATGTGTCATTGTAGTATGTTGTATTTATTTACTCATGTTCTTTTAAGTGTTTCAGGCTGCATGTACCAAGTAGTTCAGACGATTGGCTCGGATGGAAAAAATCTTCTGCAATTACTTCCAATTCCTAATTTCTCTGGAAATCTTATACCACTAGTTCAATCTTCAGTTGTGTCTGATGCTTTGAAAGGGAATACAGGAAGCCCAGTTCAAGTTACTTTTCAGACTCAGATTTCCAGCTCTTCCACAAGTTCATCAACAACTCAATTGCCCATTTTTCAGCCAGCCAGTTCTTCAAACTATTTATTTACAAGAACAGTAGATACAGCAGAAAAAGTTAGAGTTACTACTGTGGGAACTGAAACTTTTACCTCATCAGTTTCTAAAGTTCAGAGTCATGGTGTAAAAATTGATGGACTCACCATGCAAACATTGGCTGTTTCTTCCTCCTCAACACAAAATGATTCATCTTATATTTTAGTAAATACTCAGAGCCTTCCAGTGACTGTGAAACCTCCAGTTTTGCCCTCTGGGCATCATTTACAGATTCCAGCCCATGCTGAAGTGAAATCTGTACCAGCGACATCATTGCCTCCTTCAATTCAGCAAAAGATACTTGCAACTGCAACCACAAGCACCTCAGGAACAGTTGAGGCCTCCCAAATACCTTCTGTTATTTATGTATCTCCTGTAAAAACAGTGAAAAATGTAGCTACCAAGAACTTTCAACACATTTATCCAAAACCTGTTACAGAAATAGCAAAGCCAGTGATACTAAATGCCACACAAATTCCAATGAATGTTGCAAAAGAGACACAATTAAAAGGTGGTCAGCATTCTCAAGCTGCTCCAGTGAAATGGATTTTTCAAGAAAATCGACAACCTTGTACTCCATCTCTTGTTCCTGTTAAGTCTTCAAATAATGTGGCTTCACAGATTTTAAAAAGTTTTGTAGAAAAGAAAAGTGTGGGAGGTAATACTATAAAGATGCCACCATTGAGTACCAGCAGTCCTAGTGGGGCACAATCCAAAAGTATGCCTATTAAAGATAATGCGTTGGTTATGTGTAATGGGAAAATCTATCTGTTGGCTAAAAAGGGGACAGATGTTTTGTCATCACAAATTGATCAACAGAATTCTGTTTCTCCTGATATTCCACCAAGAAAAGATTTATCACAGATAGTGAGCCCAAGTCCAGTAACAGAACTATCCAGAGAGGTTGTAAACTTTGTTTTGGCAAAAAATAAATCTTCCCAGATGGAGACAAAATCATTTTCAAACACCCAGCTTGCTTCCATGGCCAATCTAAGGGCAGAGAAGAATAAAAAAGTGGAGACACCATCTCTTTCTATCCTACACCCAAATAATCTGAACCCACCCATTAACTACTTAAAACAGAGTAAGACTTTATTCCTAAAGGCAGACTTTCCAAATGGATTTAGTACAGGACAAAATGCCCCCCCAAAAGAAAATATCATCCAGAGCATAGAGAAAATAAGTTCCTCTATTGATGCAACAAGTATTACTTCACAACAGTGTGTTTTCAGAGACCAAGAACCAAAGGTAATTTTCCCATGTCAGGGTGTTCTTTTTATCTGTATAGAAAAGTTTTCTTTTTTTAATTCTCAAAAGTTATCTAGCATACCTTTCTCCCCTCTTCTCCCATCCTCCATCACACACACCATTCACATGTGAATGCTAAGTCAAAGCTTTTATCTGAAGGAAATGTTTGAGGAGGAATATAATTGAGAGAGACCAAGCTGTATCTTTGTCTTGTCATGCCAAATCTTTAAAACAAAGTCAAACAAGATCACAGAGCAACAGGGTTTAGAAGAGTTGGAAAAGGATAATGTGAATTAAAAGCTTAGTAAAATTATGTGTGCATGCATGCATACATTTGTACACACATGCATACATATACATGTATACATATATATTTAATAGCCTACTTTTTAGTAATGAAAAGGTCAATGTGCATATAGAAGAGCTAGGGGGTTTGTTTTGTGGTGGTATATATGTCAATTTTTTTAAAGGTAGATGGTGGAAGGGGTAGGGCAGGGCCATACAGTACCTTTTAAGTCATTTGTGGAAATAGGGTTTATCAACATCTTTGATTGAATAATTTTTTTAGTAGATAAATTTCCCCCCCTTTTTTAGCCCTACTTTCTGACTCTGCATCCAATTATCCATCATATCCACATAGGAATCTTTCTGTTCTACTTAAGATGTGTTTCTGTGCTCACTAAATATTTGTACCCACCCTTTTCTTACTTAGAAGTCTACTTAATGTCAGTGTTTCTTTTCTTTCAGTACAGAATTTATTGAACTCCAGAGATATAAGGAAGTAAATTCTGATTTGACTATAAGATTGGTTAAAGGCATAAGACTTTTTCAGACGACTACAATTTCTAATTAATGTCACTTAGATTATTTTTAACTTGTCATTAGTGTGTGTTCTCATTTCAGTTGTTTGAGAATTGAGTAACCTTTCTAGTGCAAGAAAGTGAAATAAATAAGAAATTGCATGGAAACATCTCTTATTTATTTGACTCAGTTCAGTTTTTCAAGTGTGATGGTAAGGCAAGGGTAATGCAAACCAACCATTTAGGACTTTAAAGCATGCTTGAAGTAAGATGAGGAAATCATTTAGTTACCAGTCTGATAAAATAGCTTAAGTAATGGGTAGTATTGTTTGTGTGTTTTCTTTTTCTAATTTCAGATCCAGAATGAGATGGCATCAACATTACAAAAAGGTGCTCAAGAAAGAAATGACAAAAATGCTCAAGGAAGAAGCAGTAAGGCATATCTGAAGACTGATGCTGAATTTAAAAAGCTATTTGGTCTTACTAAAGATTTGAGAATAAGACTTACTCGGATTCCTGACCATTTGGGTGCTGGAGATTTTGATTCCTTTAAGAGTTTGGTGAAGAGTGACAATGAGACAAAGTTTACAGTGAAGGAGGAAGAGAGAAAACAGGTAATAGATTTTAAAGTATTCTTTGTAGGTACTCCAAAGAGACATGAGTGTATTAATTTTTTTATGTCTTAATATAAATTAGTTACCAACTTTGCATATATATGTATTATACCAAGATGGTGTTAAAAAGAACTATATATGCATAGGTAAAAATGCATCCATGGTTAGTTAATGGTGTTGTTTCAAGTGTTTTTATTCACCTACTGTTTATTTTTTCATCATAAAATTATAAGAAAATGGCCATAGCTTTTTAATTATACTACTTTGAAGACCCTATCTAAAATAAATAATCCAAGTGTAGGAAAAAATATAAGCATGCAGATGTTTATTGCAACATTACTCTTACTGCTAACATCTTAAGAAATCTACATGGTCAATAATGATGAAAAGAAGCATCCCTGTAACTTTGTCTACTGTCACTCTACTTATAAGATCAGAGATCAGTCTATCTTTCCCAATGAAAATCTTTAGTATGTGCCTACCATGCAAATGGGAAAAAAAATGTAAATCAGTTCTCAGGTTCTTCACAAATGGCTGTTAAATTTTGGTGGTAGATCAGTATAGATTCTAATACTTAACATAAGCAGGAAAATGTGAATTCAGCAATTTATTCTCAATGAAAATCATTACGATATTGCTAGTTGGTACCATAAATATTAATCTCTTGCGGTAGTTGTTCTCAATATATTTTGTTGAGTTGAATTTAATTGCTGTATATTTGTATCTTTAAACTTGTTAAATTTCAGCGCACACACTCTATATATGGCACTAATAATTTGCTTTTCCATTGGAATTGTACTCAACATTGCAACAGGGTTTTGATAAGAAAAGAAAAGCAAAAACCGTTAAGAAGATGGATCACGCAAAGAAGAGAAAAATCGAGAGTGCTTATAACACAGCTTTAAATGGAGGAATTAGCTATATTTTACCAACTTCAGATGTATCACACCATAACATTGTTACAAGCTGCAATAAAACCAGAGAAGAAAGAACTGAGGTAGAACACTGTACCCGTGAAAATCAGGAGAAAGTCTCTTTGAGTTCAAATGCAGATTTTGGACAAAGTCATTCCTTTACCAGAAATTATACTGAAGATATTTTTCCCATGACACCACCAGAGTTAGAAGAAACCATTCGAGATGAAAAAATAAGAAGACTTAAACAAATGCTGAGAGAGAAAGAAGCAGCCCTTGAAGAAATGCGTAAGAAGATGCACCAAAAATAATAAAATGTTGCCATACTTAAAGACTTCAGTGAATTAGCTCTGTTTTTACCAGATGTTTTTGCATTAAGTTAACTATAGATGCATTCTGAAAGTGTCATTGAATATGAAGTTTGGTTTTTCATCAGTTGATTATAAAATTTTGTTTAAGGAATGCAGAAAAGGTTGATTCACATATAACTTCAATAATGTACATGGGCTATCTAAATCTTTTTTTATACTTTTTTTGGGAAGGAAAATTTGTGTAATGTTTTTGTTTTGTTATTTTTAACTAGAATCCCCCAAGTTTGAATGTTTGTGCAGGATTTTTATTATTGTTTGTATCTTTAGCTAAATTGCTCAGGAATACTATTGAAATTATACAATCCAAGAGAGGAAATCAGTCCAAATTTACTTAGTTTTGCCACTGGGCTTGTATATATACTCACTTAGTCTCTTTGCCCATGAAATGATGATACCTTCTGCTCACCACTGTAAATTTGTTTCATATCATGAAAAAAACATAGCAGCATTATTTAAAAATTCAAACATTTTTTTTCAAGACTGAGGGATACCTGTTTTGTATCTTTTACAAAATAGTTTCATATAATCCAAAATGAGTTTTAGAATTCAGGCTATATAATGTATTGTTTGCTTAACATGGTATGTTACTATTTCTAGGCAAATGCTGCTTTTTCGAAATATGTAACTTGGACTGTGTAAAAAGTAAATGTGAACAATGGCCACATTGAATACTTTTTAAAAATGTAAAATGTGGTTTTTCTTAAAAGAGTCAAACAGTTTTCTATCTGGTTATCTTTGTTTTGGAGAGTTTGGAAAGGTGGGAGGGATAGGGGAGAAGGAAGAAAAGGTTATTTAAAAAAATGATTAACAAATCCGTAGAAGTAAGGTCAAATAAAAACCTGTACATTGACAAAATAGAAAACAGAAAATACTGATATATTAGGAGCTATTCAAGATATAATTATAATTCATTTAATATTTTCTAATATTCTCAGTCAGGGCACATAACTAGGTTGTGAGTTCAGTTCTCAGGTTCTTCACAAATGGCTGTTAAATTTTGGTGGTAGATCAGAACAAATACAAAGTGATAATCAACTAGATTCTCCTGCCTTTTGTTTTTTGTAACAGTTTTATTGGGATAATTTATGTATCATAAAATTCACTCTTGCCGAAACCGGTTTGGCTCAGTGGATAGAGCATTGGCCTGCGGACTGAAAGGTCCCGGGTTCGATTCCGGTCAAGGGCATGTACCTGGGTTGCGGGCATATCCCAGGTAGGAGATGTGCAGGAGGCAGCTGATCGATGTTTCTCTCTCATAGATGTTTCTAACTCTCTATCTCTCTCCCTTCCTCTCTGTAAAAAATCAATAAAATATATTAAAAAAAAAATTCACTCTTTTAAAGTATATGCTTCAGTGGCTTTTACTATATTCACAGTTTGCAACATAGACATCTAATTTTAGAATATTTTCATCACTGCCACCCCCCACACTAAACCTCATAAGAATTAGCAATCACTCCCCAGAACCTCCTTCCTCCAGCCTTAGCAACAATGAATACACTTTCTTACCTCTATAGATTTGCCTATTGTGGACATTTCATAAGCATGGAATGAATCATTCAAAATATTTTATTTAGTGACTGGTTTATTTCTCTTAGCTAATGTCAAGGTTCATCCATTCTTTAGCATGCTTTAATACTTAATTTTTAAAATTAATTATTTAGATTAAAAAAAAATCCTCACCCAAGGATATATGTACTGATTTTAGAGAGAGGATGAGAGAGAAACATCGATGTGAAAGATAAACATTGATTGCCTCCTGTACATGCCCCGACTGGGGATTGAACCCACAGTCTAGTTATGTGCCCTGACTGAGAATCGAACCTGCAACCTTTTGGTGTACAGAATGTCACTCCAGCCAATCGGGCCACCCAGCTAGAGCAGTACTTAATTTTTTAAATTGCTGAATAATATTTCATTGTATGGATATATACCACACTTTGTTTACTTATTTATGAATATTTGGATTGTTTACACTTTTAGCTACTAGGATGTTACGTTGCTATGAAAGTTTGGGTAGAAGTGTTTATGTGGACATACATTTTCAATTATCTCGGGTATTTAAGTGTAATTGCTAGATCATATCCTAACTTTTTGTTTGACATTTTGAGGAACCGCCAAACTATTCCATACAGGTTGTGTTCCCCCTACTTTACCAAAATGGATCTTGTCCAGGACACCAGTGACTTCCATGTAGCTAGATCCAGTGATCAGTTGTCAGTCTTTTTAATTCATCTTCTTAATTTATCCATCAGCGAGAACATAGTTTCATGAGTGATTACTTCCTTTGAAAAAAATACTTAAGTGTTTTTTTTAAAAAATATATTTCATTGATTTTTTACAGAGAGGAAGGGAGAGGGAGAGAGAGTTAGAAACATCGATGAGAGAGAAACCGATTCAGCTGCTTCCTGCACACTCCCTACTGGGGATGTGCCTGCAACCAAGGTACATGCCCTTGACGGGAATTGAACCTGGGACCCTTGAGTCCGCAGGCCGACGCTCTATCCATTGAGCAAAACCGGTTAGGGCTTAAGTGTTGTTTTTTATTAAAGAATCAATACATGTATGTTATAGAAAATACAATAAGCTAAAGTATTAAAAGTTGAAACTTCATATTCCCACTAAACTAAAAATAGATATTAAAGGCTATCAGTAAATATATATTAATTAAAGTCATAGATCTGGATAAACATCCCTTAGGAGGATAGGATAAATACAATCAATCTGTGGGCTCATCTAATGTCTGAGTACATTTAAAAATTGAAAAAACCAATGAAATGAATTTTGAGGATTAGAAGAAGAGAATATTAAAGGAATTATATCTTGAGTCATTCCTGACTAATATATCAGTATTCGTTAAATAAATTCAACTAAAATTATCCTAAGGACATTGCATCCACTTTCCAGTTCATTTCTTCTTTTTATTTAACCCATTTGTTTTAGCCAACTTTCTTTTAGGTTTTCTGCTTTTTTTTTAAAATTAAATCTTTATTGTTCAGATTATTACAGTTGTTCCTCTTTTTTTCCACCATAACTCCCCTCCACCTAGTTCCCACCCCACCCTCCGCCCTCACTCCCCACCCACTGTCCTCATCGATAGGTGCACAATTATTGTCCAATCTCTTCCCTCACCCCACACCTCTTTCCCCACCCCCAAGAATAGTCATTCCATTCCCTTTCTATGTCCCTGATTCTATTACAATTGCCAGTTCATACTGTTCATCAGATTATTTATTCCCTTGATTTTTAGATTCACTTGTTGATAGATGTGTATTTGTTGTTCATAATTTGTATCTTTACCTTTTTCTTCTTCCTCTTCTTAAAGGATACCTTTCAGCATTTCATATAATCCTGGTTTGGTGGTGATGAACTCCTTTAGCTTTTCCTTATCTGTGAAGCTCTTTATCTGACCTTCAATTCTGAATGATAGCTTTGCTGGATAAAGTAGTCTTGGTTGTAGATTCTTGGTATTCATCACTTTGAATATTTCTTGCCACTCCCTTCTGGCCTGCAAAGTTTCTGTTGAGAAATCAGCTGACAGTCGTATGGGTACTCCCTTGTAGGTAACTGATTTTCTTTCTCTTGCTGCTTTTAGGATTCTCTCTTTGTCTTTTGCTCTTGGCATTTTAATGATGATGTGTCTTGGTGTGGTCCTCTTTGGATTCCTTTTGTTTGGGGTTCTCTGTGCTTCCTGGACTTGTAAGTCTATTTCTTTTACCAGGTAGGGGAAGTTTTCTGTCATTATTTCTTCAAATAGGTTTTCAATATCTTGCTCTCTCTCTTCTTCTGGCACCCCTCTAATTCGGACGTTGGTACGCTTGAAGCTGTCCCAGAGGCTCCTTACACTATCTTCGTATTTTTGGATTCTTTTTTCATTTTGCTTTTCCGGTGGGGTGTTTTTTGCTTCTTCGTATTTCAAATCTTTGACTTGATTCTTGCGATCCTCTGGTCTGCTGTTGGGAGTCTGTATAATGTTCTTTATTTCAGTCAGTGTATGCTTAATTTCTAGTTGGTCCTTTATCACAGCATTGAGGGTCTCATTAGATTTCTTGAGGATCTCACTACATTTATCGGCGGTCTCACCAGTCTTCTTGAAGATCTCACTACATTTATCGGGGTCAGTCGGGCCTTATTAAGTTTATCGGCGGCTTCTAGACAGTTCTTTAAAGACCTTAAAAGTGTGGTTTTGAACTCTATATCCAGCAGTTTGCTTTCCTCCAATTCTGTCGTTTGTGTCCTATTTCTTTGTCTTGGCATTTTTTTATGCTTCACTGTGTCAATAGAGTGCCTTTCTGTGCTAAGTGTCCCAATTACCTGAGGTAGACACTCTTGGTGCACCCCCTTGTGGGCTTTGTGCACAGTCTTGTTGTAATTAAGCCTTGATTGTTGTAGTTATCACTGTGAGGAATTGACCTCCAGGCCAATTGGCTGTAAGAATCAGCTGTGTCTGCAGTGGGAGAACTTCTGTCCTGGAGACACCCCTCTGGGGCTAGACTTGCTTCGATGGGGCTTTGGTGCTCACTGAGTCTGCCCCCTGAGTGTGTCTTTTATGGTTCCACGGAGCTGCAAACTGGATGGTCCCACTCTGACCTCTGCTTCTTTATTATTAAGGTTTTGCTGCTCATGAAATCCTCAAGCACCCATAATTCTTTCCATTGTATTTTATGATACAATATGTGGCTTGAGTACTTCACAACAAAATTCCCTAAATATGCTGATGGTCTCAAACTCCTGCTCCTCATTCTGAAATTCACTTAAATTGGGGTTTTATCTTTACCGCTCTACTAAAGCTTTTTTCCCCCCTCAAAGTCTCTAACAATTGCTATTGTATGGTCAGTTGACACTTTCTCAGACTGTCTTTGAAATTTGTTCTTTGCTCTGTTTCTGTGTCACCAATCTTGTTTTCCTTCTACCATGTTGGTCCTCCTCAATCTCTGGCTGGTTCCTTCCCTTCTCCGTGA